CACCACACACATGACACTGCACACTGAAGCCTCAGTCCTCCCACCTGTGCAATGAATGAGGTGGCCTAGACCAGTGCTTCCCGAAGCTGACGGCTCATCAGAACTCTCTGGGGTGGGATTGTATTTTTAACAAACTACCCAGGTCACTGGGTGATTTGGAAACACAGCAGGCTGGACACTCTGCCGCTGTCTAGGATTATGTGTCGTGGAGCAGTCCCCAGAGGTCAGGTGCGGTTCCTACTAGTTCTACAGAAACCACGGTGGCAGGAGTTGGTGTGGCTTGGCAATGGGCATCCCATCTGTGACAACCCTGCCCTAGACAAGCTTTCTGCAGAAAGTAGGTGGGGCTAGGGTCTTTGTCAGTGTCCTGGATGGGAAGGGCAGTACTGGGGTGTCGGGGTGAAAATTTAGGCGGGCAGGCAGAGCAAGGCTGCCAGCCTGCCACTTCTCCATGGCACTCCAGCGGCAGGTTGCCCGGCTACTACCCTTCTCCATGGTCTCCATCTCACTGGCCCCCAGTGCCTGGAGGACCCCTGCCCAGCACAGTGGGAGAAACCAGCTGGAGGAAAGTCTGCAGTCTGCCCGGTCCCACACGAGTCCACGTCAGAGCCAGGCTCTCACCCACACGCTTCCGGTCTTGCTCACAAGATCAACAGCAGAGCCCGTGTTTTCTGTAAGAACCCTCAGAGAACAGAGTGGACTCCTAGCTAACATTTCAGTAAGGAGGGCCTCAGGAGGCTCCCACCCCAATGGGTCCCTGCCCTCCCTAGGAATTAGCCTCCGAGTCAGGGTCTGTCCACAGCACACCTGGGTCCAGGGTCCATTCGGGACCAGGGCTCCCGGGGCCCTCCCTCGGCCAGACTAGTTCCCTGAAGGCCTCTGAGAGGTCTAGGGACTCTTGTCCCATACCTGACACCATCGTGCTTCCTCGGGAAGGGGCCTGGGGCAGGGCACTACATGAAGGTTTATCCAGGGAATAGATTGAGAGTGGGGCTGTGATGAAAGCAGCTGGAGACGGCGCTCAGGTCTGACCTGGATTGGAATTAGGAGAGGCTGGGATTGAGACCGGTTTGGGGCCGGCCAAAGTTGAGCAGAGCTGAGCCTGGGAATGAGCCCATATTGAGGTTACTGGGAGACAGGGTCATGGTGAGTTTTGGGGGCAGGTGATCAGGGAGTGGTTATTAGGGTACGATTGTGAACAGAAGTGAAATCAGATAAACGGAGGCCAAAAGATACCACCCTTGGGGACCAGCAGGTGGCATGGTGGTTAAAGCGCTGGACACTACCACATGACCACCCACGGTTCGAATCCCGGACCTACTGGCTTGCTTTCTCACTTTCCCTCTCTCTCTCTATCTCTGGTCAAATTAAAATAAATGAATGAATAAAAAAAATTAAATAATTTTTTAAAAACTTAACCATTAAAAAAAAGATACCACCCTTACCTTCCTCCCTCTCCAGCTCACCACAGGGGGCAGTCGTACCCACAGAGAGGCATGGTACCCAACCCACCAGGCTCAAGCACAAGCCCCTGGAGTCTGCAATGGTGGAGCCCCAGCCTCGCTGGCTGGAGCCACATGACCTTTAGCACCTACTTCCTCTACCCTCAAATGTGCCTTCCCTGGAGAGATGAAGGTGCCATGTAAGCGGCAGGCACTCACTAAGGCCAGTTCTCTTCTCCCGGAGGATCATGGGAAAGGCTGGGTTGGCCTCTGAGCCAAGGCTGGGCCGGAACAAGAGACAGCAGGGATGTTTGGCGAAGTCCCTGCCACACACCTTTGCCACCGGGACACACCCACCTCCCCAACCTCACGCCGGCCCAAAGAACCCAGGTTGCCCCCACCAGTGGGGTGGGCTCCTTGCTAGCAGCCTTCATTTTTCGCTGGTTTTTGCTTTTTTGTTTTTGAAGCGGCAACTCAGCTAATTTTTGTTTTTAAGCAGCAGTCGGGCCTTCCTTCCTGAGCCTCAAGAGCCTCGCCCAGATTCTCAATCCTTCCTCCCCGCCCCAAAGGTCACAAAGCCAGTCATGGGACGCTCAGAATGCCAGGGCAGGAAGGGGAGTTGGAGATTCGCAGGCCAACCCACCTTGTTTTGTCTCAGGGCTCCCAGCAAGTCAGGCAAAGCAGTGATCTCTGGGCCATTCAGTTCCCTATACTGAGCACTTCTGGGCGGGCAGGGGGTCAAGGTCCAGAACCCTAGGCCCACTCGGGATCTCAGGGCCTGGAGGGTAGACCAAGAGAGGTGGGTGTGAAGAGGAAACAGCTGTTTTAAGCAGAAGCCATCAGAGCTGGCTGCAGAAGGGGAGTAGAGGTTCTTAATTCTGGATCAAACACAGGATTGTGATTAGTGAACAGCAGGGAAGGGAAGGGAGCTCCTGGGTGAGGGAGCTGCAGGGGAGGCAAGGAGAGGGCAGTGTAGACAGCAGCCTGGCATCCCCCACCCGCTGCCCTGCAGTAGTGACAGCTGCTTCGAACTAAAGGCACTCCTGTATTCATTTAGCCCTGACTATAACCCGTGCCCCCATTCTTTCCCCACTTTACAGATGGAGAATTTAGGCAGAGGTTCGGTCTGTTGGACTGAGTGACTTACACACAAGAACCTGGACAGTAGCAGTGTCATCACCAGCAACTCTTGCAGGTGAAAAGGTTTGCACAAGAGAAAGAGGCAAGAAACAGGAAGAGGGTTGTCCAGGGAACTGAGCTGGGCTGAGGCCAGGGCTCCCTGTCCTGCCCCAGTGCTAATTCCTATCAGCATTCTGCTGTTCTAGGTGCTTCGAGCCACTGCTCAGGCTAGAAACTTGAGGGCCCATAGACCGGAGTTCAAGTCCTCCTCCTGAGTGCCCTGCAGACCAGCATGCAGTCATGCAAACCTGCTGGCTCCTCAGAACCCCAGCAAGTGTACGATGCTATCCTTCCCCACTGGGGGGCTGTGAGGCCTAAATGCTGACCGCCGGCCACACTGAGCTGCACCCACATGGAAAGGACGTTCCCCAGGGACAGCACAAGATGACATGCTCAGTGCTGTGGAAACTCAGGCAGAGGTCACCCACGTCTCCCACTTGGGGAACAGGACAGTCAACCAACGCAGCAGACCCACCCAGGGGACATCCCCAGAGGCCTTGTTCAGAGGGCCCCTCGGGAAGGCCAGGGAGGAGGACAGCAGGACCCAGCTCAAGGGCCTCTGGGCCTCTCTGCCCCTGCCAGCACCTGGTATCTCCCCAGAGATGCCCCCGCAGCCCTGGACCGCCAGTCTCCAGCTCTGGGATGTGGGCCCATATCCACGTGTTCTCCCCGGGGACTCACAGCCCAGCCAGGTCAGGAGCTCCTGCACCCACACCCAGCTCCCAGTCTGTACAGCACCACCGACTGCCCCCCAGCCCACTGTGATTCCCGGTGCTGGGAATTGAGCCCTAAATGCACCCGAGAGGCCTGGAGACCAAGAAACACCTCTTCCCCACTCTCACTGTGCCACCTTCAAGAGCAGAGTCCGTCTGGAACACAAGTGAACCGGGGCCCCCTGCCTGCTTCAGTGCTAACCCCTATCAGCACACTGGTGCGACCACAGCAGCCGCCCGTCTCCTCTGCTGGGTAATCCAAACATTGCAGGTCACTTGAGGCAGGGGTACCTCAGGATTATCGAGGTAGAGTACATCCACTCACCCTCAGTTTCACACACACACACCATTAGATGTACCCCAAACCCATTCGTTCCCTATGAACACACAATAGCACACGCACAAACATATGCATGCATAAACATACACCCACACAGACACGCACACGCACAACACACCGCCCCACCCCAGGCATTGCTAGTACGGTTCCCAGCACCCAGCTTGGTGTGCCTGGAGGGCAGGGCCCCCAACTCAACTCCTGCTCCGGTCACCTCCTCGGGATCTTTTCCCACATTTTGGCCCCACTGACTTGAATGGTGTGGGCTTTGGGTTACACTGCGGTTCAGGTAAGCAGGTAATAGCCAGGACTCCTCAGACGGCTCCCTCCTTTCCTACCCCTCGCTCCCAGCACAAACCCGAGGCCAAGGGTCTGGGTCTCCTGTGTTCCATACAACAATGACACACCTGACTGCAAAGCTCATGATAGCTCAGCCACTGTGACCTTTCTGTGCCCCGGTTTTCTCCTCTGCAAAGAAGGGGTGGTGAGAACGCCGCCTCGCGGTGCGCCGTGGGAATTAAATCAAACAGTGTGTGGAGACCTAGAGCGAGGCCACCCACCATGGGTAAGTCACCCTTAGCGCTAGCCGGGAGTCACCCCAAGCCTCTTCTGTCCCCTGCACTCAGCCTACCCCTGTGCCCTCCTTTCCCCACCAGAGCCAGGTGAGTTCTGAGACAATCCCAGTCTGGGGTTGCATCTGCCCCACTGAAACTGGATTTAGAGAAAGCTGCAGGTGAAACAAGCAAAGGAATGGTGGCTGGGGGAGGGTTTTAGAAACTACCTAGTGCTACCCCACACACTGGCTTGCCAGGGTGGGAGCTGAGAGGGAGACCCTCCTCACTCGAACCCTTGTGCCACTACAAGACAGGGTCCTGGCGAGTGCAGCCAGCCAAAATGCCGTTTGAGAAAACAGTCTGGGCGCAGCAGCGGCCAAGCTGAGCCATGCTGGGCGCAGAGGGTGTGGCCTTCGTGGCCACAGCCCTAGGCTTGTGGATCAGCATGGGTGAGGCAGTCGCTCCAAGTCTTGGAATGAGTACAGGGACTTCCTTGAATGGTGCAATGTTGCTCTGGGAGGGGTCAAGGCGGTGCCAGGCCTGGGGACCCCTGATCACCAAGGTCAAGCCCAGCACAGTTGTCTGGGCCCACTCTAATGTCTGAGGACAAGTTCTGGTCAAAGCTGGGCAACTGGCTCACTGTGTGCCCGGAGGCAGACCTGCCTGATGGCTGCAGACCAAGCCACTGACTATGGGCTTCACTGCCTGCTGAGCCTCACATGTGCCACCTGTAAAATGGGCAGCTCAGCTTAGCAGCATCCCCCGGGAGGAGCCGCTCCAGCATGCTGCTTAAGGCCCCTGTGATCCCACGACAAGGTCTCACCACAAGGCGGCTTCCTTCAGAACTGCGGAGGCTCTGGGCCCAGCACAGCGTGACCCAGCTATCATGGGCAGACATGCAGTGCCAAGCCCACGCCACCAGGGGCTGCCTGCCTCTGCCAGGCAGCTCTACCTTCCAGCCCAGGCTACCTCTGTACCAGCTCCCCAACCCCAGCCATGGTCTTCCTACCACAGACCAAAAACAGCCTCCGGAACAAATCCATGCTAACAGCTGCTGCAGGCCGGCCTGCACATCTGCTCAGCAGAAGTCCCACTGCAGATCCACCCGGCAGCCCTGCCTGCTCCCACAGCCTTCAGTCCTGGGAGCTGGGGGTGGGAGAAGTTAAACTCAGGCTGAAACTTCACTTTAAAATAAGGAGGCCATGCATACCCCTGGCTAATGCTCACCTACTGCCCTGCCTGAGCCTCACACACAAGCCCGGAACAGAGAGGTCCAGCTTGCAGGGGTAGGTGGAGAGGGGTGGGGTCACCAAGGAAACACTCCAGCCTCACCCTTTCTTTGGCCCCAACTCAAGGCAAGCCACTCCCAAACAGCCCCAGCATCTGGGGGAGTCTCAAGCAGCTGGAGGTGTGGACAGTAACAAAGGGCGAGGGGCTCCTTGTTGACAAATTGCTTCCCTACCTCCACCCCCCCAGCTCGCCAGAGCTTTCATTCCCGACCTCTGTTTTCCTGGGGTGCCCCTGGTTACAGCGGGAGGCCTCTAGCTGGGCGAGGCCTCGGAAAGCCTGGAAATGTGGCCTTTCCCCCCCATGCCCGCCCACCCCCTGGTCTCGCCAAGGCAGGCAGCTCCCCCTTTACTGGCTTGTAAAAGATCGAATCGCCCCGCCCTGGGAGCGGGTGGGCAGGTGGCCGGCAGCAGGCCCTGTTGTCCAAACTGCTCAGGGGAGGGGGGAGGGAGTAAGGGGGAGACGCTGAAGAAAACTGAGCCCCCGGAAAGGCCGGCTCTCCCTGCCTGAGCCTCGACTCCAGAGGGATGACCCAGGCCCGGCGCCGGGGCAGGCGGGAGAGCAGGGGAGGGTGCCGTGTCTTTTACCCGGTCTAGGACACTATTCCTAGATCTAACCGGGGCGCCGGAGCCTCCGACACCGGGCATCGTCTGAACTGGAGGGTAGGGGGTCAGGGGGACGCACAGACCTAAAGCGGGAGTCCACGGAGGGCAGAGCCGGGAGCGGAGAGAACACTGAACCGCAGAGCCACGAGCCCAAGGAAAGTGAAAACCGAGGCAGAAGGAGGGCCAGAAAGAGAGGAGCTGAGCAGACAGAGGAGAGGGGCGGAAATCGGGCGAAGGAGAGACAGGCGGGGAGCCGGGCGAAAGGGCAGCTGCAACACCCGCGAGCCCAGAGGCTGGGCGCAGCGCGCCGAGGCCCGGGCAGAACCGGGGACGCGCGAACTCGGCGGCCAAGCCCGGGCGCTGCCCCAGCACCCGCGCGGCCCGCGCGGCGCTCGCCCCG